TACTCTAAAACGCAAACCAATTCCTCATGCTGGTTTCATCCCTGAGACCACATGGGGAGACATCCCCGTGCCTCATCAGAGACAAGGTCCCTGTAGTGGTATGAAAAGCATAGAAAGATGACAGCAACACCAGAGAGACTTAAAAGGGGCTTTACAATGTTACTCCTAGTTTAGGAGGAAACACAGGCAGGAATGAGGACATCCTGACCAAATCATGTGTGCTATCCCCATAGGGTGATCCGCTGTCCACAGCCCAGCAGCGCTTCTCCTGCTCCAAGTCCCACCAAGGAACGTCCTTCATGAGCAGCGCAGAGCTTGGCCATCTTCCTGCTGGGTGCTGCCTGTACCATCCAACTCATCCTGCGGTCGATGCTGCCAGCAATTTTGCTGTTCATTTCACTCCTGTCCCAGGGGGGATTTCTGCGGGGCAGAAATGAGAGTTTTGTGTTACTGCTTTGTAGAAGGCGTCTGTAACTTTAAGGCAATGCTTTTTTTTCTGTATGCCTAAACTCCCTCAAACGGATATCTTTGATAATGTAAATTAAATGCAAAACCTTGCACAGATGTGTCCTGTGTTTTCTACCAGCAGTCACTTCTGTATAGCTACCATCCCCTAGCCCACGAGAGTGAGGGGACCTTGGCCACCAAGGTCAGGCTTCAGTGTAGGAGGGTGAACTGAGTTTCTCCAGCAGGGAGTGGTGACTGAGCTTGCATTGGATGGGTGTTCTCATGACCCTCTGTCTCTCACACCTTGCAAAACTTTGGTGTAAGTAGTGGTCTTTCATGGCTAGGTTTCTTGGCAGTGGGGGGGCTACACAGGTGGCTTGTGTGAGAGGTTGCTAGAAGTTTCCCCATGTCCAGCAGAGCCAATGCCAGTGGCTCCAGAGCAGACCTGCCACTGTGGCAAGGCCGAGCCAATCAGTGGTGGTAATAACACCTCTGTGAGAACATATTTAAAAAGGAAACAAAAGTTATTGTGCAGAACTAATTGCGGCCAGAGAAGAGAGGAGTGAGAAAATATGAGAGGAGCAACTATGCACACACGATGGTCAGTGGAGGAGGAGGGGGAGGAGGTACTCCAGGTGCTGGAGCTGAGAATCCCCTGAAGGCTGTGGTGAAGAACATGGTCAAACAGCTGTGCCCCTGCAGCCCATGGAGGTTAACAGGGTGCAGAGATCCACCTGCAGCCCATGGAAGAGACCCAGGCTGGAGCAGGAGGATTCCTGAAGGAGTCTGTGACCCTGTGGGGAGCTCCTCCTGGGGCAAAGCCCTCTCTGGGTGGATGGGCAGGAGCTGCAAGCCCTTCACAGGCAGGTTGAAGCCTTCAGTACAGGCTGGGTCCCACCTCCAGGTGACTTCTTCCTTCACAGACACACCACCCTTGGGAAGTCCTAGTGAGCTGTGCACTAGAGGGAAGTGTCCTCTTGCCTCTTTAAGACATTTTAAAACAAATTCAGATGTTGAAATACTGATGCATTGGCCGAACAAACACTGGCCCTCCATCAGTTTTCCACTTTTGATTATAAAACTAGAGATCCCTGAGCATCTTTTGGGAGAGGAGGGTTGTGACCATGCCCTGGACTCATACTGGGGGTGACTGGTAGTAAATGAGAGCAACTGCAATCATGCTGGGGGCTCCTGCAATCATAGTGGAAGTGACTGGGAGCAACCTGTGGACCACTGGGATATACTGGGAGAGATTGGGAGTGACTGGGATGATACCGGGACTGACTGAAACCATACTGGAGGTTATTGGCAGCAACTGGGACCATGTAGAGGGCGACTGGGATCCCAGTGGGTGTGACTGAGATCATACTGGGCGAGACTGAAAGTGACAGGGATCATAGTGGGAATGACTGGTAGATACTGGAGCCATGCGGCAGGGACTGGGAACATGCTGGGTGCAACTGGGAGTGACTGGGTCTACAATTTGGGTAACTGGGGGTGACTGGGATAATGGCCAGTTTGCTAGGGCTAACTGGGATCATGTTGGGAGTAACTGGGTTATGCAGGGAGCAGCTGGGGCCATGCTGGAATATAACACAATACAATAACATGTGGAAAGAGACAACATTCTCAGCCTACGTTTACATGAGGAAACTTTAGAATCTTTAATTGAACAGCAGATCAGCCACTGTGATGGAACAAAACTAAAGACAGTAGAATGGGCAGGGATGTTTCTATGAGGTTAACTCCATTCTGAATAACTGCTTATTTGAATGTTACGGTTTTTCTACATGGGCTGAAGCCTTGAAGTTCTCTCTTGCCCAGTAATTTGGGGATTTTCACCACAGAACAGGAAGCAAGACAGACCCAACAATCACATACATTATAATCAAGTATAATCACGTTTGCAAGAGATGTACCTGCTCTAACTTTAATCTCATGGGCTTTTGGGTCACAGTAGGAGAACAGATGTATGACATGGATTGAAATATGCATTTTACATGCTTGACAAGAACCTTTGGGTTGGTGCAGTGTTAATATTATCCAAGCTTCAAAAGCTGCACCTGATCATGTTGCAACCACACCTCTTTTTGCAGCATAACCTCATCCTAAACTTATAAATGTGCTGCATGGTTTTGAGCACTCACATACAACAGACACCAAATATGAGAAACTACTGTTGATTTGCCTAGGGAATGAAAAAAAATTACAAGTCTCCAAGAAAACGAATTAAAAGACTAACAACAGGAAGGACACAGTCTTCTGTCACAGTAAACTATAGGAAAGCAGATGAGCAGAAGCATCCAGCCTTCCTTTTCTGTTACATTCTCACCTATCCTTGTGATGACTCTGGAGTAGGATTTGCATTTTGTATTGTGTCTGGTTGATTTAGACAGTCACTTCTGTCTCCAGAGAAGCCTCTGAATTTGCTCAGCTGAGCTTTAATTAGAGCATTCTGCCCTGTGAGCTCGGCTATCTGTCCCAACAGATCACCACTGTGAAATAACTCCTCAGCTGTGCTATTTTTCCTAGTGTCGACTGGACAGGACAGATTGATTTTCTCATGGGAACTCTCCAAGTCTTCGTCTGCAGGAGGAATGGGTTGCCTTTGAGAGATGAGACAATTTTCCTCAGTTGTGCTCTGTGTTCTCAGGGAGGAAGGTGAGCTCCTCTCCTTGCATGGATCACTTGCAGTGTTTTCAGGACACTGAGAAATGGTTGTAAACACTACAAACAAGAAATAAAGGAACGTTAAGGATAGAGACCTGTGATCCACACTGAGGAGACTAACAGTGACTTTTCACTTCAGGCTACTAATAATCAAGTAGGAACTTGAACTGTAACATCTAGCCTGCAAGAACTCAGCAGGTTTAATATCTCCTATTGCAAACAGTCTTATGTTTAAATGAGTTCATTAGAGACTGAGAGAGAAGTCGGTGAGAAGACAAATTGTTTTGAATTTCTTAGCTGACAGAAAATGCTACTTCTTAGTTCTCCACTTTCCAAAATCCAGTTACCTTCCCTAATATACTTTAAGTCTGCGTTTCAGGTCTGATACTCAATTTAAGAAAATAAAACAAAATAACACAAGACTTTTTGCATAATAATAAACTAGCTATTTACTCAGCCCCTAAAAAGCAGAAGCATTCTGGCCAATGAAATCAGTTAGGTATTTTTTTGTGGTCATCATCAGCAGACAGATAATGCACTACACACACACGACTAAATGACTTACAGCACTGTCAGCTGCTACACATTAAGTTCAAGTTGAATTTTTGTGATCAAAACCAAATTTTTTTTATGCTTTTTATACCAAATAGCCCATTCCTTCCCCAGCTTTAGCTTTTGACTCGAGCAGAGCACAACATTAAAAAAAAATAACACTCAAATGTGTTTTATGAATCATTTAGCATAAAGAAACATTCCATCAGTTTAACACTGGTTGAAAAATTTAGCACCAGTATTAAATGAGTAACAATATATTTATCACGTAGCTAAACTGTAAGCCACACCTGGAGTGCTGTGTCCAGTTCTGAGCTCCTCAGTACAAGAGGGACATGGAGCTCCTGGAGCAGGTCTAGTGGAAGGCAGCAAAGATGATTAAGGGATTGGAGCACCTCACTTATGAGGAAAGGCTAAGGGAGTCGGGACTGTTCAGTCTTGAGAAGAGATGACTGACAGAAGACCTCATCAATGTCTATAAATATTGCAGAGAGGGTGTCAAGAGGATAGAACCAGGCTCTTCTCAGTGGTGCCAAGCAATAGGACACGAGAGAATGGGTAGAAAGTGATGTACGGGAAATTCCACCTGAATATGAGGAAGACCTTTACTGTGCAGGTTACCACACACTGGAACAGATTGCCCAGAGAGGCTGTGGAGGTATTCAAGAAGCATGGAGATGCAATCCTGTGCAATGTGCTCCAGGATGACCCTGCTTGAGCAGAGAGGTTAAACCAGATGACCCACTGTGTCCCTTCCAGCCTTACCCATTCTGTGATTCTGTAATGAAGCCTAGGAAGATAGTTCTATATTCTTGTATCAAATTACACACAACGTTTGACAGTTCTCAATGGGACTAAAACAAGATGTTTCTCTTTGTAGAATGAGACCTTTCGTTCGTTTCCTCCAGATTTATTATGTACCTCCTCACAGCACAGCAGCTGTAGTGGGTTTGCATGGCCAGATTTTTGGTAATGGGGGGCTGTAGAGGGAGCTTCTGTGAGAAGTTGCTAGAAGCTTCTCCATGTCTGGAGGAGCCAATGCCAGCAGCTCCAGGATAGACTGCAGCCAGGCCAAGCCAATCAGTGGTGGCAGTAATGCCTCTGGGATAACATACTTAAGAGGGGGGGAAAAAAGTTATTGGGCAGAGTAATTGCAGCCAAAGAAGAGAGGAATGAGAATATGTGAGAGGACCAACTGTGCAGACACCAAGGTCAGTGGAGGAGGAGGGGGAGGAGGTACTTCAGGCCCTAGAGCTGAGGATTCTCTGCAGGTAGAGCGTGGTGAAGCAGCTGTGCCCCTGAAGCCCACAGAGGTTAACAGGGTGCAGAGATCCACCTGCAGCCCACAGAGGAGACCCACACCAAAGCAGGTGGATTCCTGAAGAGGAGGTTGCGACCCTGTTGGAAGTCCATGCTGGAGCAGACTCTTGGCAAGAGCCTGCAGACTCATGGAGAGAGGAGACACATGCCCAAGCAGAGGTCCTGGCAGGACTTGTGATCCTGTGAGGGACCCATGCTGGAGCTGGCTGTCCCTGAGAGACTGGACTGCACGTGGAGAGTGACCCACACTGCAGCAGTTTGTGGAGAACTGTAGCCTGTGGGAAGGCCTCATGTTGGAGAAATTCATGGAGAGCTGTCTCCTGTGGGAGAGACCCCATGCTGGACCAGGGGAAGGACTCCACTCCCTGAGAGCAGTGGCAGAAAAAACAAGTGATGAGCTGATCATAACCCCCACTCCCCATCTTTCTGCACAGCTGCTGGGGAGGAGGTACAGCTGGGAAGGAGGGAGGGCAGGTGGAATGTTTTTAAGGTATGTTTTATTTTCTCATTATCCTGCTCTGATCTTGTTAGAAATAAAATGACCTAATTTCCCCAAACTGAGTATGTTTTGCCCATGACAGCATTCAGTGAGTGATCTCTCCTAGTCCTTGCCAACTTATGAGCCTTTTGTTGTATTTCCTCTCCCCTGTCCATTGCAGAGGGGAGTGAGAGAGCAGCTTTGGTGGGTGCCAGGATGCAGCCAGCATCAACCCACTACAACAGCCCACAAACAGCTGAACTAGATATAAACTTCCAATTGCCCTGACAACTTCCTAAAAACCAAAAGGACTTTTGGCTAATTTTCTGACTTGAAAAAGGCTTTCAAATCAGCACAGCTGAAAAGGGGAAAAAAGGAGGAGGAAAACCACAAAACTCCACTACTACACCCTACTTCCTGTCAGCAGCCATCAAGCTATCAATGGATGTAATTATCTGCGTCTCAACAATGGGCTTATACAGGGGCCTGGCATGTTCCCTATGGGAACCTGCTCCCAAAGCTTCTAAAAAGTCCTTTGCTGGGAAGACTGGCTCAAAGCAGGAGTACACAGTCTACAGACATCCTGGTTTGTCTGCTGCAGAAGCAGTGAAGTTCCAGGCTCCAGTGATCCTCCATTAAAGGTGGTGGAGGCTGGATTATACCATCAGGAGATGGAAATCTGAAATGATGTGCTGTACATCATTGACAAGGAGCTACAGCAATGACACAGAGGTGATGATCAAAATCGGTACAAAATAACAATGTCAGTCTGGATTGCCACTGACAGGACTGCAGACAGTAGATGGAGAACAGAAAGTCTAAAGGATATCTTGCAACAGGCATAGTACAAAAAGAGATGTTTATCTGGGTGCAGCAGTAGCAGTTTTAGGGCCAATGTGTCTAAGCACACATAATAAAAATTTTGCACAGAAAATACATCTTCAAAGCTAGTGCAACACTGAAACAGTAATACACTATACATACTCATAAGACTATTACAGCCAGAGAGATCTCACCGTTCCGGAGGGAAGACAATTGCTGACTGCTCTTCTGCCGAGGGGGTGACAACAGCACAGCTGGCTGGAAGATGTGAGCTGGTAAGCTTCTACCAGATCCCACATCACCTAAAGCACCTGGCTCTGGGGGAAACATGGAAGGAAGTTCTTCCTGTGGAAATCTGAGCATATTTTCCCTGTTGCCTGCATCAGTCTTGGGCTCAGAATAGGTCAAATCAGGTTTTACTAAAGAAAAAGACAAAGCAGGGAGAAAAGTTAAACAAACAAACCAAAAATAGGAAAACATATTTTCAGTGCAATGGCAATGTAAGCAAAAATCTCAGTAACAACTCAGGTATCTGAAAAGAGACTAGAGTATGTTACACACACACTCCTAACTTCCTTCTGATCCCAGAATACAGAATTATTTCACTCAAGCATATTACAAAATCTTTACTGGCCATAAGAGCAAGATGAGCTCTTACATGTAGCCTCACAATTTCAGGACACTTGTATAAGATCTGTCTGTAGTTCATGCACAAGACTTAGAGATATGTGTCTCATGAAAAATAGGTATTTGAGCTGCATTTGCTGACATTCTCTTGAGAAAAGCAGATTTATGCACTTGTCCTAATGTCCCATATTATAAATTGGATGGCAACAATGGTGGAGTAGAAAACAATTCAAAGCTTTTCCTAGCTCTTTGATGATCTTTTTATGATTTAATTAAGATGAGACACCTCTTCAGTTAAAATAAAAAAGGTTAATCTTCTGTATTTAATTATAACTAGTTTGTATCTATGTTGCCATCTATTTTGAACCTACCAAGGAGGCACAAAATGAAAAGCACGAAAGCAAAGTTGTAGCTAGCTGTGAGACCACAGTAATTTTACTATGCTTACATCCATTGCTCCATCAATGCTATCTATGCATTCTCCTTTCACAATTTTGTTCAGGACATTAGCTCCCGAAAGAGAAGTTAGTGGAAAATTAAGCAGAACATATCTGATGCCAAAATGCTAAAGACAAAAAGCACCTTTCATAGGCAGAGTCAGAAGAGGCTGCTTGCATAAAATACTGCTTGTGGGTCACATTAGTGAGAATTTACATGTAAAACCTGTCACATTCAATGTCTCTGGCAAGAAATGAGAAAGATCTTCCTGCTCTGCTTCACTGAACGGAACTGCATTTCTGAAGTATCCCCCCACTCCCCTCTCACCCTCACTTCCTCTCTCCAGGGAAGCCCTGTGTTAGCTTACACATGTTTTCTGTGCCAAAACTAGCTAGCTCAAATATTTCACATCCAGACAGATGCCTTAAGGGTACAAGAGATGTCCTTCTGAAGGAGGAGGAGGGGGAAGAAATAGGTTTGTAACTTTAGGGAGCTTTTCTCTCAGGAAGATACTTTTTCCTGAGAAGAGAAACCAGTAAGGAAAAAAGATTTGAAAATTCCAGCCCTGCAGAAGGCTTGGGGGTTTGGTTGGGTTTTCTAAGTTGTGTGGTTTTGGCTATTTGTTTGTTTGGGGGTGGAGGGGAGTTTGTGTTTTGTGGTTTTTTGAGGGGTTTGTTTTGGGGTGGTTTTTTTCGGTTGGTTGGTTGGTTGGTTAGCTTTTGTTGCTTTTTCTTTGAGGGATGTTTTTCTGACCATTTGCATTTATATTCTGGGGTGTGATTTCTTTTTGTTTGCTTTTACAAAGCCTGGGTCTACCACAAAAAAAAAAAAAAAAGGGGGCCTGGGATGTGGCTTCTTCCTGAGAAGAAATTTCCTCAAGGAAGAAAATATTTAACCACAAAAACATCCACAAAAACAACATTTAACTATGGAATACAAATAGCTCCAAGGAATCTCAGGATTCACAAGGAGTTACTGACCTTGAGAGCAAACCCAATACATTTAAACAACCAATCAGGAAAGACAGCTGGGAGAAAACTCCATGGTGAAAGAAGGTTAAAAGTACAAGGTGAATTATGTTTGGTTAGTTTGGCCATCAATGCTACTGGCCTGGCTTAGCTTAGCCTTTCTCACTCACATGTCATACAAAGTCATAAATACCAAGAAATAGACCTCTGCTTGGTTAGTTTCTGAGCCTCAGCAGCTGCTCTTCTGGTCAGCAGCGACCTCCAGTGTCTTATGCAAGAATCAATCTCATACTGCCAGGCTGCCTCAGCAACACAAAGGTGAGACCCTGATTCCATTGGGTTTGGTTTCCTTAGTTTTCTGTGGCTTTTTTTAGGACGCTCAGAATAAAACTTACTTTGTAAGCCATCTTAATGGGGGAAGACTATTTCCCTCCTTTTGTACTTATGCTCACAGCAGAACCCATGGCATATGAATTTACAGAAGTGCGATTCATGCTCATGCAAGAGGTATTTATGCAAGCAGACACCTATTAAATACCAGATTTTCCACAAGGATAAACCAGCCACAACTCCCACTTCATCCTTCACACATGCATATACACACCTTGGCCATTTGCTGGACCTTTGCTTGCAATTTCAAAATGTTTTGGACTTTGTTCTCTTTCAGGTTCTACCAAATGGAAGCCTTTAAATGCTTGTGTGAGAGACATCAGCTGTTCATTTGTTACTGTCATGTACTGCTGAAGCTTCTTCTAAAGGAGGAATGAAAAAAGAGATATAGAAATTTGTATTCTAGAAATATGAATCAGAAATTACATATCACAAGCAGCTCTGAGAAGAAATGTGGCCTCTTAATACCACTGCATTATTCTGTAGGATTCCATTGAATTATTAGTGTCTCCATGTTTCTCATTTATAAATTATTTGTTTTCCCTTTTCCTAACTCTTGATACCACTTCCTCTCTACAGTTGCTTAACGGCTCCATTCCCAAATGCAGTCATTGATTAAATTTATCTCCACTGTAAACTAAGAAAAAAAACAAAAAAGAAAATGCAGTAGTACAACTAAGTCTACCCTGTTGCTCCAGTAGTGTCAACAGTATAGAAGTGTGAAGGAAGATGTTTCAACTTTTAGATTGATAAAAATAAAGCTCAGTTTCACAGAACTAGCACTTTCTCAGGCTTTGAAGTTAAATAAGCTAAGGATTTTCTAAACATTCCTTACCCACACCTACTATTATAATTCTCAGACTCCTTATTCAATTTTATCTTTTTTTCTGATTGTTAAATCTCTACAACATGAGACAATGCATCTTCACCCATATTTGCAACAGAACTCAGTATTCTAACAGGTCATCCTGAAGGGTAAGGGGCAAGGGGGGCTCAGTACCTGCATAGTAACGTTTTCTTCCCTCAGTAGAAGTACTTCCGCAGTCAGAGCATCAATCAGTTCTCGGTGTTCATTCAACATCTCCTCCTGCTGCTGCCTCAGCACCTCTTTCTCACACAGCTGCATCTCACTCTGAAGAGGGAGAAAAAGTTAGAAACCTACTATAAGTCAGTACAGACTTTGGAAACAGGAATGAGTCAATATGACACTATACTGTAACAGGTCTTTCCACTATTGCTAAATTACTTTCATGACAAAACCCAATTGTCACAGCTTCAGGACTGTCAGAGACCTTACTGTTCGTTACTCCAGAACACTGTAAGGAATCCTATACATCCTTGTTCTTCCACCTTTACAACTTTTACAGTCTGTAACTGCAAGCACTGTCTCTTTGCACAGATACAGTTTAAGTCACTGAATCTTCATGCAGTAACCAAATAATTCCAGGTATGCTGATATTTGTCAGTATCCTATACTACGCGTGCCTGTGCTTTAGTTTCCTTAATTCATTAATGAAGACAAACTTGACTAAATAAAGGAGAAAGTACTTGCTTTTTAATCTTTTCTGTCAGGGAGAGGAAAAGTTCTAGAGGGTTTCAATTATTTTCATTTTTCTTAAAGACAAAAAAGTTTGTGGGTTAAGAAATCTACTTGAGCATGAGGCAAACAACCTTACTGTAAAGAACTTCTTGCCTTGAAAAGATATTATCAGTCTATCATTTTAAGACAGAGCACTGCAGTAGTCAGGTTTCCTGCACGAAAGAGTCCTTTCCACTTCTAACGGGTAAATAAAACACGACTGCCACTTTTTGGAACACTTTAAATAAAAGAGGTTACTAAGTGACATAAACATGTCAGAATTAGCAGCTGGAGCCCTTCCCCAGACAGATGCCTGCATTTACTCAAAGGAATCCCTGAATAAGAGAAATATGTCCCATCTCCAAAACATGAGAGACCCTGAGAAGCAACTGGGGTACTTTTTTTTGCAGCCAGACAAAATGGGAACATGAGCTGCCTATCACATATCATGAATTATTTTCGGCTGGCATTGGGTCCAGAAGTGAAGAACAAAGGATTTAGACAAAACAGCTCTGCAATCACATAAAAATAATTAATGAATATTATTTGGAATGAATCACAGATACTGTCACTGGACACAAAGACAGGCAGACACACCTCCCGTAAGCGTATCAGAGACAAGCCATCCATTTTTTGTTTCACTTCCAGCCAGAGAGAATAGGGGTTTTGCACTGACCAAAGTGAAGCAGGCTAGCTCAGAAAATGAGAAAACCCTACACATGGACCTACCTTCTTAGAAACCAAAGACAGCACAAAATAAGCACTTTTAGCCTAGTAGCAGTGATGAAGACTACTGATGCCTTAGATCATCCGGATGAGCTACTGTATCTGCTCATCCTACCTAGCACTAACCTAGTCTTGGAGGACAAACTTGCAAGCAGGTGTGTCTTACATTTATGCATGGGGAAAACATCAGGGTTAACAGTTGTATACACCCATTACTACCACCAGGTAGGATTTAGGTCTGGTGTACCTTTAAAGAATTATCTTCATTCCAGCCAACTGCCAGGTATAGCTGTAATGACATAAGCTTTAAGACTGCACCAGGACATGTAGCAGCAGAGAGAGAACATAGAAACACAGATTCAGGGAGTATGATGTTTTGCTCTGTGAGTCTGGCAAAGAAATAGCATTCTTAACCAGAACAGGGGTGGGAAAGGAATGATTAATTCTAACATTTGGATGATATTAAAAATAACTCAGAAACCAAGACACGTTTATCTACTTCCCCTTAAGAATTTCATACACTTTTGCAAACATTTCAGAAGCTTCTTTGCCCCTTTTCTCTAGCCTCTTCTGTATTCACTATCTTCTTGTAGGGATTGGTTTTTTTAATCACTTAATAAAAACACTTGTATGAAAGATTCAGGAATTCAAGTTTCTCTTCCTATTTTTTAGACATAATTTTTGAAACTAAATTAAGCAACATCCTTCATTGCAATCCTTCTGCATTCAGTTTTCCTGCAGCAAAACTGGAAAATATTATTTGCTCCCCAGAAGAGAAGGGGAATCTCTCAAAAGCTTTGGAAGGCCTTGAAGATTGGCTATTTAACTAAAATCAGAGGCTTTTTTAATACCCTCTCAAAGTCATTTTCCTGAAATCCATTGCCAGCTACAATGCAGGCATTGGAAGTCTGCTAACTCTCCTGGCTGTACAAGACAGATGGTGGACACGGACACTTGATTTACTCCTAGCACGACAGGGACCAGATTTCAGGAAATACTTGAGACAAGCTGAGCTTCTTCCCAGCACATTGTCAAATTCTAATTAAAGCTCCATGAAAAGCGGAAAAGTCACTTTCTGAACACACACTATCTCCAGCAAATCTGAATACAAGTAACCACATTTTGTAGCTTAAGTGACTTCTTCATACTGCTACTTATGAATTCAGGTAGTAAACTTATGAAAGTTGCAGATAATTCTATGATCAATAATCAACTCCTGGAAGGAGGGAATGATAACACAAGAAGTGATGAAAAATCCAGGAGCAGTTTTGGAGGAAGTCTGTGGCCCAGAAATAACTCATCTCCGTGGAAAACAAATTAAAGAATCTAAATAGGGTTATAATTGCAATCATAACACAAATTTGATGCTATTAAATTGATGTATTCCTAATAAACTGAAAACATTCTATTGGAATTCCAAGAAGATCCTTCCTTATAACTGCAAAAGAACCAACTTTAATTCCCTGCTTTGGTATAACAGTTTTAACAAAGAACAAGCATTATTAACTTCTTTTAAAATATAAGACTTTTTTTGCCAAAGTCCATCTTCTGATGGTAGTTGCATTTCACTCTTGGATTGATTATTTACCATTTGCTTCCAAGACAGGACTAAATTCTTCCATATAGATTAAATACAGAGTAATACAAGGAATAAAAAGAAAGGAAAAATTTTTTTAAAATAAGGTGGGCTCCCCCCAATTATTATACACTCTGAAAAGGAACCAGAATAAGACAGTTCCACATTGCTTAGAGATCTATTACCTTAGCTATGAGATAGGTACTTAGGCATCATATTCTACTGCACCTATTAAGTGTGCAGGAACTGTCACCATCTGGTTTAAAATGTGACACAGGCCAACTGAACCTGCGAGACACTGCTGCATGTAGATAGCTCTGGGTTACAGAAGAAATAAACCACACTTTTTCCTTTTCAAAAAGAAGTTCTACATGGCTTATAGGTGATCTTCTCAATGGAATTCCATAAAGCAAGAATGACATGTAGCAGTGCACTGCTCAACAGCAATTCTAGGCCTTCTCACCTTTTTGAGGCAGCGCATCAAGCGACAGAGGGCATTCACCAGTGACAGTGTAAACCCAGAGAGGCCTTCATGTCTCCCTTTTTTTTGAACCTCACAACCTGTACGTCGCTCATATTCCTCCAATTCATGCTCCACTTCATGTATCATGTGGTTGAGAACATCTAAGCTGGATTTGTTGTCCCTCTGAAGGTCACTGGGGATTAAATTAGTTGAAGAATCATCTCCCCTCTGACTTGCAGAGTCCTGTGTGGCTTGCTTTCTTTTCACTGACAGGGAAGAAAAAAAAAGCGTCATTGGAATTTCAGATTGTATAGAAAGCTTTGCAGTACCAATGAAATTACATTGCTTATTAAAGTAAATCAAAGAAAAGGCCCTCTCTCACCCTGAGCTGAAATGGATCATCAAAGAATGGCCCCAGTCATTCCATTTTTCAGATCACCAAAACCCACATTTTTATGCCATCACATTAGTACCTCTCAAGTGTGACTGGCGCTTTTATCTTAGATAGATGTTTATACTTTTCTCCTTCTCTGTTAAAAACATGGAAACAGTTTGGGTTTCTCATATGCAGCAAGTTGCTTTCTCTCATATTCAGTAAGCAACTCCTATACAACAATCCTTTCATGTTGCAGCTTGTATCTGGTGTCAGTCCCCACATACAAATGTGTAGAATATGGGGACTGAAATGCATCATAGGTCTGTGTAGCACAGAATACAAAGATGCATCAGAAACAGAAAAGCCCTGCACAGGAAAGAAATCCACAACCAGCAAGGTAACTGGTAGCATCAAAGGGCCATATTTATGGTGCTCAGATTCCTATGGACTTGGCTTTGCCAAGGAACACACAGAACACAGAGGAATACACTACACAAGGGGCTGTAGAACATTCATCCTTAGATAAGCTCAAGACTCAAGGCCCAGCCCCCATCAAACTTTGGAGCTACTGCTGTGATGACTTCCAAAGATCCCTTCCAGCCTACACTTTCTTATGACATTAAGGACCTTGCTCAAAGGGAGCTATATTATTTTTAAAAGTACTAAACTCTTTGCTTCGATTTCCCTTTGTTTCCTTGATTTTGGGTTCAGCACTTGTCTCAAAATGTAAGTGAAGTCTTCAGTGTCTTCTTTGTCTTCATTCTGAAGTCTTGACTGGGTTCTCTTGACTACACTGGTAGCATTGAGGGCTGATTTAAACACAAAACAAAACAAAAAATACACGTGTGAAATATTTCAGGCATATTCTTAATAGTCATATGTCACAAAGTAATTTTATTAGAAGAGCTAGCTCCTTAGTCTGGAAATTCATCTGAACCAAATTAGCCCTTCACAGAAAAGGAGTTCCAGTCAGGATCCTGTGAACAGCCTAACAACCCTTGAGAAGCTGCAATTTAGGAAACCCAACCTGAACAATCCAATGATGGAGAAACAGTTGCTGGAGTCAAAGGCATATTTGATTCTGGTGATAAGATGGTTTTCCTCACATTCTTTTCAGCCCACAACTGAGAATTCACCAAGGAATTTTCTTCTCTCAACAACCGAAGTAGCCTACATTCAAAACAAGCACAACAGTGAATTGCAACAGAACAATAGCATGATTCTAGACTGCCTGTCCAGAAAGAGCTTCTGAAATTATCTGTAACTGCTCAGGTGAGTTCTCTGCTCATGTTCACTCCTGCTCTGAATACTACAAGGCCTTTCCCTAGATTTTTGAGATCAGGAAAGGAGAACAAAGGGAAACAGAAAAACTGACTTAACTATACCCACGCAACATTCTTTAAACTCCATCTATTTCCAGTGTTAAGCAGGTGGAAACCTGATGTGTTTGTACTGACCTGTCAGAAACGCTGCTGGATTTAAAATTCGGAGGATTATGGTGTTCATCTTCTGATACTTCCTCTTCATTAAGAGCCTTTTCAGGAGAAAACAAAGAAAACAAAAGGAGCTTTAGAAGAAGTTAGAGATCAATTTTGTGGAATTGTTCCAAGAATAAAACCCAACTTTGGTTTCAGTCTCCACTTCAAAAAAACACAAACCAACTAAACCTCTGCAGAAAAAAAAGCCTAAGCTCACACCTCTTTGTGGAATGTTTTGGGGGACATTAGTACCTAACAAATACTGATACCTACAACTGTCAACATCAGGAGACAATTCACAATGGTTGTGCTCTACTGGGAGACCCCCACTTACTCTGAACAACAGGACCTGGCAAGATTTAAGCTAGGGACAGGTGGAAAATGGTAACTCTCCCCCATCTATTTCACTTTTCTCCACACACAAGATCATGCCAGTGTTTCAAACAGCAACAGCCAGATGGGTTTCATCTTGCCTGGCATGATCTCATTTTATCTTCCTATCTGGAAACATCTTTTCTCTGAATCAGAATGAGACACAAAGTATACTGAAAAAAGTAATCCCTTAAATATGAAGGGGAAAGCAACTCAAGAGGAATTAAGATGTGTGCATTATCATTAGAAATGGCAACAAATATAGAAGACCATTTCTTAAACATGAGTTTCACATCTGCAAAATAATGAAGTCACATAACAGGTAGCCCAGCAAAATCTTAGATAGGGTAGTCTAATCTACCTTTGTGACACATAATTTATTTCTGCCTGAAGGACTTAATGAAACTAGCCTGCTACTACATTAGGGAAATTTGTATAAAAGTCCACAGCCTTTTTGAATACTCTACTGAAATGCACTTGGCAGAAAAGTATGAAAGTAGCAAAAGTCAAAATTGAAGTCCGAGGCTTGATTAGCATGAAATCCTTAACACAAAATTTCTACTGCAATTGCAGAGAAAAGGGAGTCAATCAGGAAACTAAGTGGTGACCTTTGCTTCTAAGTACTTTCACTTGTTCCTGTCTATGCTTGAATGTTCTCAGAGATCTGAAGCAAACTTCTGAAAATTTACAAAAGGAAGAAGAGGTTTTCGATAGCTAATTCACTGCATATTTACAGGACTACCAGGCCATGTTTACTTTATCGCTAGGCGAACATTGTGTGTAATCATTCCTTACCAACAAGAACAATTCTCAGCTTGTACAAGTGCAGAGGCTGAAAGTTACTATGTTTTTAGATTAGTTTTCATAACATATGGCAAGTAGTCACTTGCCATGTGAAACAAAAGGACCTCTGCCACTAAAATTCCTTTTCAGACAGTGACAGCTACTCTGTTAACTAGGCTTAGATTTGTTGCTACAGTTCAATATTCAAAAGCAAATTAAACAATATATTTTCAGTCAGAGTGCTTCAAATTGCCAGTATAACAAGCTTTTTGATCCTCAGATGATAAGCTTCTCCGCCATGACTTCTCAACCTTTGTTGTGTCAACTTTCCTTCCAGACAAGGTCTTCCTTACCAACTTCTTGTCTCACCCTTTCAGCCCCTTTGACTCTGCATTTTCTCTGTTTAACCAAGCAATGGCAGACAAGCATTTCCCTCCCAGAAAGAGAAATGTACACATTTCCATCAAAGGAAAATGCTGGACACAAGGAAGAAAAGGCAAGCTAGCAATGAGAACCCAAAGAATACACATCCTTTACACAACACAGAGTTTAACTACAAACAGTTCCTGTTCAGACACAAAGAGGCCTACAGAATTACAGAGGGCATAGCCAGGCCATGAGGATCAAGACTGCAACTGTACAGATCAGTTAGTATGCTGGCCTATTCCACCCACTGCATGCATGCAGCACACAGGAGAGAGTATGCATAGACAAAATCAAGTTATCCAACAAGAGGAGCAAATGTTGACCTATGTGCAAGAGCAGTTTCCCAATACTGCTGCAAATCATCTGCAGTAGGCTAGAAATGCAGACTTATCTCCCACCTCACACATCAGAGTCAATTTTCTTTTCTCTAAGGAATCAGCATCCAGTTGCCTTTGCTTCTTCCATTTTCTTTTCAGTGCTTTCTCTTGCAGTTCCAGATGTGCCAGTGATTTGTTTTTTGACTTGTGTATTTCATGACGACGCAGCTACGCAAACATAAAAGAAGCCATTTCAAAATCAAGAGACCATCTAAAGCAAAATGTGCAGGGTAATGCTAACAAGCTCCTCTTGATTTTATCATTCGTCCACTGAGTATAATTTATGTTGACTTCACGGTAGCAATGATGGCAGCCTCACAAGCATCCACAAATACAAAATACCATCAGTACCAGACAAATTTAAAGCAGCTCCAAAGGTGAATGGGGAGAGTCTCTCAGTCTCCATCTGCCCTACACCACTGATGCAGCAAGAGTATTCTTAGCTGTAAAACCCAAAGGCTACCACCTTTAACATACGTAAAAAGACACAAAGCATTTTTCTCATTTAACAGTGTTGGTTAGTGAAATGCTAAGGCTTAGACACTAGGCCCAAGCCAGAGCTGACTTACAAATGAATCCTGACCATCTAGTGATTGATACCCTACCCTCTGCACTAGTTGGGTAAACTGCAAAAGTAGGTACAGATTTAGCAAACCTCTTATGCTAGCTGTTTTTAAGGATAAACAAGATGACCTAAAAACTGGTCACTTTTGCATGATCTTGTGCCAAAGAAAATCCAAGGCCATACAACTGTCTGCAAAGTATTTCAGGAAACCCCACCAACTGTGTCCTGGGCTCTGGCCAAGCCCTGGCCTCGGTTGGTCGGAGGGGAATAACGGCCAGATGTTTTCTGCACGAGACCGCAACAAATGCAGGTTATTTTTAGCCTGCTGATTTGGCCTATAAAAGTTGGACCCTCTTGCAGTGACTATGGACACCTCACCTACCAGTGCATGCACTGCACAGGACTTCCCAATTACTGGGAAAGGCTCTCCAAATCCTGAAGCCCTGGCCTCGGTTGGTCGGAGGGGAATAACGGCCAGATGTTTTCTGCACGAGACCGCAACAAATGCAGGTTATTTTTAGCCTGCTGATTTGGCCTATAAAAGTTGGACCCTCTTGCAGTGACTATGGACACCTCACCTACCAGTGCATGCACTGCACAGGACTTCCCAATTACTGGGAAAGGCTCTCCAAATCCTGGCTGCAACCAGGGGCTCCCCAGCAACTGCAGGATGATGATCTCGGTTGGTCGGAGGGGAATAACGGCCAGATGTTTTCTGCACGAGACCGCAACAAATGCAGGTTATTTTTAGCCTGCTGATTTGGCCTATAAAAGTTGGACCCTCTTGCAGTGACTATGGACACCTCACCTACCAGTGCATGCACTGCACAGGACTTCCCAATTACTGGGAAAGGCTCTCCAAATCCTGGCTGCAACCAGGGGCTCCCCAGCAACTGCAGATCTGGATGATGATAAAGTATTGGGGCAATTGGTGATGTATCTTTCTTAATTACTATTCTTTCCTGTAAGTAGTAACGATTAGGTGCATTACCTTGTGTATCTTATTTGCTGTTTGTGCTGCTTGAATTAGGGCTTTGGTATAAGTAATTGCATTATTCTTTTTCCTGTTTCATCTTAATCACCAGTAGTAAAATAAGCCTATTCTTTCCACTGGTGTCTGGGGCATTTCTGTTACCCCCGTCCATTGGCAAAACAGTTAGAGATACCAGAGATATTCTCTCTCTTCCTCTAACAACAACATATATATATAGTTTCAATACAAATTAAAGAAATTAGATGTGTGAGGTGCTTGGTAAAGTCTCTGGAAGACATCAAGCCAAACTTTTCTGGAATTGAGCCTCTCTCTGCTATTGTGACCATCTGTCCTGACTACCCTGCCAACATGTATAGGCAACAATAGTTCATACTGCTTAATCCATCCTGGCAATTAGTTCTACCAAGAAAAAATTAAATGGAATGCATATCTTGCAGTGAGCAGATCATCCAGTATAAATAAAGCATGTTAGATTGTTTAAAATGAAAATTGAGTATTCTCAGATTCTTCAGATTATTGTGACCATCTGTCCTGACTACCCTGCCAACATGTATAGGCAACAATAGTTCATACTGCTTAATCCATCCTGGCAATTAGTTCTACCAAGAAAAAATTAAATGGAATGCATATCTTGCAGTGAGCAGATCATCCAGTATAAATAAAGCATGTTAGATTGTTTAAAATGAAAATTGAGTATTCTCAGATTCTTCAGATAAAAAGAATCATAGAATCATCAAGGTTGGAGAAGACAGATCAAGTCTGTTAGATTGTTTAAAATGAAAATTGAGTATTCTCAGATTCTTCAGATAAAAAGAATCATAGAATCATCAAGGTTGGAGAAGACCTCTAAGATCAAGTCCAACCATTAACCTGCCACTCTGCTGTAACCCCTAACCATATCTTCCAGCACCAGATCTAGAAGCCTCATATTTCCAGGGATAGTAACTCCACCACCTCCCTGGGCAACCTATTCCAGTGCCTGACCACTCTAACAATGAAATTTTTTTTCCTAACATCTAACCCATCTCAGCTTATGACCATTCCCTCTGGTCCTCTCACTGCAGGCATAGCAGAAGAGATTACATCTTTCAGTCCTTCCAGCAGAGAACAAACTTCAACAAATCCACTGACCTCTTATGCACATACATTTTTATGATGGTGTACAGTTTATTGAAATAAAAACTATGGCTTCTGGTTCCCAATGGGAACAGAAAACCAAAAAAAATCAACTGCCAGACCTGGGGATGCTTGGTATCATAAACAAAGAACTAACACAAAAGAGCCAACACGCTGAGAGCCTTAAAAGGGAGATGAAACATTGGCAGAAAATATCCCCATCCACTTATGCCAGGCAACCAGCTAAACGCCCTCGCTAGAGAGCAGGAGTGGCGGTTGCTATCAACTTACGATATCCTCCGGAGTGGCACGGTGCACTGTCAAATCATGGACGGTACTCTGCAAACAGGAACCAGGGAACACATCAGCAGCCCGTAACTGAGGGCAAACTTTTTTTTTTTCTCAAGTTTCGTTTTAAAAAAATCAAAACAATTTCCGAATCAGAGTATCATTAGCCTAACACTGTTCATCGGTGCATTTTTCCACGAAGCATCCCACCCCCAGCGAGGCGGCCGAGCAAAACCGACCCCGCTCTACCCCACCGAGAGCGGGAGGGAACAGGGAAGCCCAGAGGGGCCACGTCCCGCCGGGCACACGGCACGTGTGACCCCAAACCAGCGCTGCGAAGCGAAGGGCCGCGGGGGGATTGGCTCCCACTTACATCCCAGTCGCGCCTGGGCA